TAGAGGCAGAGGTACAGAGGCTGAGGAGCCTATATACCCTGTGCCAAGCCCTTAGGGTACTCAGGGGTTAGATAGCTGTAACATAACTGTGACAAAGGAAGACTATTGCAAGGGCAGGAACGCGTTAAGAGCTAGAGCTAGCTATTATTTACTTTTTTAGCTATATTAGTGTGTTAGGGATTAGCATTAGCTATATTAGTGTGTTAGTGATTATGTGAAGCTATATAAGGCACTAGAGACATAAGGAACTGCATTAAATGTATTCCTAGAGGAGTCCTTTACAGGAGTCTATATATATGCGAAATAATTAGGTGGGTCTTAGCAACAGACTGTGCTGAGATGCATACAACTATAGTGCTGACACATCTAACCATTATGTGACAACACATCTGACTATTGTGCGACTATAGTGATAACACATCTAAGTGTCACCACTGCAAACAGATTAGTTACATGCTATAGTTAAATGTTATTATTATTGTTAGATATGCGCACCTACTGTTAAGACAGGAGGAACGCTTAACAAAAGCTGCTACATAGTACAAGCAATAAGCTTGAACAGTATGTTGCTGCAAATTGCTGCATGTTGCAGCAAATTGCAGCATTTTGCAGCATTTTGCAGCATGTTGCAAGCTGGTCGCGCATAGGGCTAGTGCGCGAGGGACTTAGATTAGAAAAACAAAAGCTAAGCAACACAAGTAGAGCAGAAAAAGGATTAATAAATTAACACAATTAATAATTATCCTATACATTATATCTAAACCTATTATTTATCTTAGGAAGCCTAGAAACAGTGCTTTAATCTAACAATTATACATCTATTACCTGTCTAATACTACTTTGCTAAGCATTATGCTGTAACTCTTCTTTAACCTAGATAACCTACTTTAATACGCTAACTATTACTGTTGCATAAGAAGAGCACAGGGACCTACTGTCGCGCACATAGGCCTGGTGTCTCGCCTGTGTTTCAGACAAGCAGCCTAAGACACTTAGCGCCTAAGCTCTCTATAAGCCTCTTATAGTTAATAGACTTGCTTCTTATTGCTCTCTAATTAGTAGTTGCGACAATTACTCTAAGCAAGCTTGCTTTTACAGATCATTTATGAACTGTTGTAGTATTTTACTTTAAGCTTTTAAATAAGATATAAAACCTTTAAAAAAACATGCTATAGCTATATATAAAGTCTTATAAAAGATAATAAATAACTATAGCACTAAATAACTTTTATAAGCTAATTCTATAGCTAACTTATAAAGGCTAAGTAATAATAAAAAGTAGGTAATTATTAAAGCTATACTTAAGCTATATACATAAAATTTTTTCTTTTAAATAGCATTTATAGCTAATATAGCTAATTCTTTACACACTAAGCGTAATCTAGGCTATGTTAACATAAACTAGCTTAGTATATTTATAAAGTGTTATTTAAAGCTTAAAGTAAAGTTTTAAGTATAAGTATAGTTAATAAATATTTAGCTTATAATAAAGCTTGTTTTACTAAAGTTATATATATTATTATTTTAAATACTATACTTAACTTTAATATTCTTTATAAAGCTAAACTTACTTTAAATTACTTTAAGACTTTTATAAAAAGCTTTTTTATAGTTATACTACACTTAAACATTACTTTAAGCTTTAAATAACACTTTCTAAACATACTAGGCTAGTTTATAGTAATATAGCTTAAATTACACTTAGTGTGTAAAGAATTAGCTTTATTAGCTATAAATACTATTTAAAAAAAATCCTTATGTATATAGCTTAAGTATAGTTTTAATAATTACTTACTTTTTATTATTACTTAGCTTTTATAAGTTAGCTATAAAATTAGCTTATAAAGGTTATTTAGTGCTATAGTTATTTATTATTTTTTAAAAGACTTTATATGTAGCTATAGCATATTTTTTTAAAAGTTTTATATTTTATTTAAAAGCTTAGAGTGTAAGCTGTATTTAACATTCTTTTAGCACATCTAAGTAGTGTTATTAGAAATATATTAGTTTAAAAAGAGTAGTTTAGTAAGGTCTTAGTAAAAGTAAGTAACTTAGGTGTATAAGTAACTTGCCTGTAAAGTACGTTATAAGTTATATAAGCATAAAAATAGTTAACTATCTTAAGTAAAGCATCTAGAGAATTAGAATATAAGAGTATAAGCATAAGTATAATAAAGCTATAACACTTAAAAACTATTAAGTATAGATTTAAAACTAAAATTAAAAAGTAGATTAGTTAATAACTACTATAATTAGCTTTTAC